AAAGAGTGAGGAGACGGAGAATAGAATAGGCAATATAAAAAAAAAGAAAAGTAAAGAGGCAAGAGGTGCGAAAAGAGGAAGAGAGAGAGAGATGGAGGATGAAATATAGACATAGAAGCTACAGAGAAGGAAAGAGAGACAGAGAAGGATAGAGAGAATAAAGTACGTAAGAGTAAAATAAAGAAGAAGAGGAAAGGGAAAAAATACGTAAATAGAGATAGAAATACGGGAAAAAGATAAAGTAATGCGATAGAAGGCCTTAAAATGAGACAGAATAAAAGAAGAGGAGAGAAAAGATATGATAAAGGAAGGAAGAGGAAAATAGAAAGGAAAATAAAAAGGAAAGATGGAATTTAATTAGAAATGGAAGGATAGAAACAGATCATACAAAAGGAGAGATAAAGAGATGCAGAGAACGCAAGCAAATCGTAGAAAGAGATAACTAAAGGAAGGGAAGAAACCAAAGAAAGTGACAGAAAAAGGTGATAAATAAGGAAGTAAGAAAACGCACTTATACAAAAAAATAGTGGAAAGGCAAGAGACCATTAGAAAATGAGAAAGGATAAAGGAGAAAAAACATTAAACGTAGAAGGAGGCAGAGAGAGAGAGAGAGAGAGAGAGAGAGAGAGAGAGAGAGAGAGAGAGAGAGAGAGAGAGAGAGAGAGAGAGAGCGAGAGAGTGAGAGAGAGAGAGAGAGAGACAGAGACAGAGACAAAGACAGAAAGACAGAGACAGAGACAGAGAGAGACAAAGACAAAGAAAAACACAGAGACAAAAAAAAGAGACAAAGACAGAAAGACAGAGACAGAGAGAGACAGAGACAAAGAAAAACACAGAGACAAAGACAGAGTGCGAGACAGAGATCGAGAAAAATATAACCGTAGAGAGAGAGACAGAGGCGCCCATTGGCCACGGCGAGAGCACAGGGTACGACACCAACTGCCCCCGCCTCAGCAACCCGGAATTAATGCAGTTTTACGTCTACTTAATTGGTGTTGCTTTTCCGCGGGCGAGAGTCGAGAGAGAGAGGGCGATCCGGCAAATAACATGATTCGTCTTCCTTATTTCTCTTGCTAGTTTTTGGCTGTGTATTTCTTTTTATTTTATTTTATTTTTGAGGGGGAATTTTTTTTCGTTTTTTTCGTTTTTTTTTTTTTTTTTTTTTTTTTTTGTCTGTCTTTGTCTGTATGTCGTTTTTTTCTGTCTGTCTGGTTGGCTTTCTTTCTGTTTGTCTCTCTCGCTCTCTCTCACTTATTCTCTCTCTCTCTCTCTCTCTCTCTTTCTTTCTCTCTCTCTCTCTCTCTCTCTCTCTCTCTCTCTCTCTCTCTCTCTCTCTCTCTCTCTCTCTCGCTTTTCTTTTTTTTAGTTTTCTCTAGATATTTCTATATTTGTAAGACTCGTTTTCCTTCGTTTATGTTTTACATTAACTTTGTCGTCAATACTGCTATTATTGCGATGTTTTAAATATCTTTTTGAATAATACTCTCGTTGAATATATGTAGCTTTTTATTTCCTCTCTCAGTCTTTTTTTTCTTAGAAAAGAAAGTACTGAATTGTAATGAATCAAATTATGTGCTTATTATCTTAAATGGTTTCTTGTTTTTGTTTGTGTATTTAGGTGTGTTTTGTCAGTATGTCTGTTTGTCTGTATTTATTTGTGTTTGTGTTTATCTTTGTGTATTTGTGTGTCTGTTTATCTGTATGTGTGTTTGTTTGTCTACGTGTGGTAGAATTACAGTAATAAAGAGATGAATAACCAGTGATTAACTTTTCAAAGAATTATGAAAAAAGCGAAAGAAATGAACTGATTCTTGGGCGTTTTTTTTTTTTTTTTTTGTCTCTCTCCTTCTTTCTGTCTTTCTTCAAAATCTCTTTTCATATTTCATCCTAATTCCTGAGATCTTGTTGTGATTTACGTGGCAGGCGGAGATAAAGAAGAATGAGATTTTTTTTTTTTTTTTTTTTTTTTTTGCTAAGTAGGAAATCTTAATTGTGAAAAGATGATTGAGAGAGAAGGGGGAATGAAGAGAGGGAGGGAGAGAAAAAAGGGAAAGAGGGAAAGAGAGAGAGAGGCGAGAGAGACGGTTGATTCATTATAGTTCAGTACTTGATTGAGTCTAAGAAATATAGAAATACCTTTAAAAAAAAAACGTGCGAGAGAGAGAGAGAGAGAGAGAGAGAGAGAGAGAGAGAGAGAGAGAGAGAGAGAGAGAGAGAGAGAGAGAGAGAGAGAGAGAGAGGAAAGAGAGAGAGAGAGAGAGAGAGATTGAGAGAGAGAGAGAGAGAGAGAGAGATAGATAGATAAATAGATAGATAGATAGATAGATAGATAGAGAGAGAGAGAGAGAGAGAGAGAGAGAGAGAAAGGCGGACAAACGGATACACACACACACACAGACAGAAATTAAAAAGAGAAAAACAGAGACACGTGTCTATGTACAATCCAAGCAAAGCATACAAATAACAATAAAAACAACATCACTCCATGAATATTGAAATTTTCTCTCTCCTTCTCTCTCTTTTTCTTTTTTTCTCTTTTACTCTCCCTCCCTCCATCTCCTCTCTCTCTTTCTAGTCCTCTTTCTCTCTCTCTCTCCTCACTCTATCTCCCTCACTCTTTCTCCACCACCCCACCCCCACTTCTCTCTCTCTCTCTCTCCTCTCTCTCTCTCTCTCTCTCTCTCTCTTCCCCCCTCTCCTCTCTCTCTCTCTCTCTCTCTCTCTTCTCTCTCTCTCCCCTCTCTCTTCTCCCCCCTCCTCTCCCCCCCCTTCCTCTCTCTCTCTCTCAATTACACTTCACACTCAAAGGAGAAATCGCTAATTGCATCTGTTGCTCAAGGGAGAGAATTAGCGAGGATGTACTCAACGACCCCGATCAACATGCAATTGGTATTCGCGCTTTGCTGTTGCACGGTTGACAAGAGCAATTATAATATTATTAATAATATTACGGACCCTTGGTTCATTCTGTGGCTTTTTTTGTCTATTTTTGCTTATGTCTCGTTCGTTCTTTGTCTCTTACCTTATTTATTATTTTTTTTATTTTTCATTTTTTTTTTCTTCGTCTCCTTTTTTTTTCTTTTTCTCCCTCTTTCTTTCTTTTTTGTTGCTCCTCTTTTTATTCTTTGATCTAGTTCTATTTATTCTCATCTCCCCCTTTCTCTCTATCTTCTTCCCTCCCCCCCCCTCTCTCTCTGTTTCTCTCTCTCTCCTTTCCCCTCTCCCCCGCACTTTCTCTCCTTTCCCTCCCCTCTCTCTTTGTCTCTCTCTCCCTCTCTCTTTTTCTCTATTTCTCCCTTCCCTCTCTCTCTCTCTCTCTCTCTCTCTCTCTCCATCTCCTTCTTTCGCTCTCTCGATGCTCTTCACCTCTCCATTTCCAAAATTTTAAAACATTTTGTTCTTATCTGTTCCGGATTTTTCTTCGCCTATTTCCTCCACCTTACCCTTCACCCCCCCTCACCCTCCCTTCCCATTCCCCCCTCCTTCCCGCTTCCTTTCTCCCTCTCTTACCCCATTCATTCCTTCCCCCCTCCCCCTCCTTTCCCTCCCCCCTTTCTTACCCCATTCCTTCCCCCCTCCCCCTCCTCCTTCCCACTCCTTTTCTCCCCCCTCTTTTACTCCATTCTTTCCTTCCTTCCCCCCTTCCTCCTCTTTCTTTCCTTTCCCCTCCCTTTCCCCCTCCCTCCTTCACGCTTCCCTTCTCCCTCTTTTACCCCTTCCATCCTTCCTTCCCCCCTCCCCCTCCTTCCTTCCTTCGCCCCTCCCCATCCCCCTCCTTTCCCCCTCCCCCCTCTCTTACCCCATTCCTTCCTTCCCCGCCTCCCCCTCTTTTACCCCATTCCTTCCTTCCCACCCCTCCCTCCCCCTCCTTCCCCTCTTCACAACCGTGGGTAATTACTCATAATCTCATAATTAGATCCTCATTACTGCACTTCACATGTCCAAACGTGTTGCTATCTGAGCGTTCTATCGGCGAATGCTCTCTCTATCGACAAAATTTCCACTTTTAATAATGAGGGTCGGAGATTGCTTAATTATTCTGTCTATCGCTATCTATCAGTTCGCCTTTCGGCCATGGGATGGATTGGACAGGGGGGGGGGGGGAGGGTGGTGGTGGTGGGGGGGGATTTTAAAGCGGAGAGGGGAATGATTGTCTTTTGTCAAATGGTTGTTCTCTTTTTTTTTTATCTCTCTCTTTATCTGTCTCTGTCTGTCTGTCTGTCTCTCTCTCTGTCTCTCTCTCTCCCTTTTTTCTCTGAGACGGACAAAGTAAGGCAACTAAATAGATTGATAAACCAAGGAAGGTACACAGACAAACACACAGACACAAAGACAAACAAGGACAGAAAAGCAAAAAACGAGAAATACAAGAAAATAAAAAAAAAGAGGAAAGTAGGGAAAATGAAGACAAAACCCCAAAAAAACTAAAAAAATTCAAAAATCAAATTCCAAAAAAAACACAGTACTCCTCCCATCTTCGCACACTACGAAAAAAAACGAAAAAATCGCCAAAAAAAAAAAAAAAAAATCGAAAAAAACTGCCTTACATACACACACACACCAGCTGTTCGGAGGAGCGAGACTGCCTCATCAGTCATGTGTTAATGGTTAGAGTCAGTGCTGGGGTCTAGGTATGTCGCTCCCTTTGAGAACCTTTCGAGTGCCATGGGTAACGAGTGAGAGATAGAGAGGGGGGGGAGGGAGGAGGAAAGGGAGATTGAGAGGGAGGGGGGGAAAGGGAGTGAACGACAGAGAGGGCGAGGGTTGTAAGACCGTTGGGGTAGATGGAAGGGGAGAGAGAGAGAGAGAGAGAGAGAGAGAGAGAGAGAGAGAGAGAGAGAGAGAGAGAGAGAGAGAGAGAGAGAGAGAGAGAGAGAGAGAGGGGAGAACGATAGTGAAAGAGAATGGGCGAAATGGGTATGGGTATATATATATATATATATATATATATATATATATATATATATATATAATCATTTGTGAACCTCCATCGGTTAAACATGGATCTCTCCCACAATCGCTCTGGACCAGTTGTGTTGCATCGACCCTTTGCAGAGTATTCTGTCCAGGGTGAAGGCTTTCATGGAACGTAGACAGCAAGGCCATTCCTCGTTTAGTCTCTAGTATGAGAGACTACTACCTAGATACCAGATAATTAATGATCACTGTTATATAACTATTGCTATTATCATTATTATTATCAGTCGTAATAGAATCTATATTATTATTTATATTTTTATTGTTATCATTGCCGTTATTATTACATTTACAATAATGATTACTGTTATCATTATTAGTAAGTGGTAGTAGTAGTTTTTGCACTATAATTATTATCATTACCATCATGATGGCCATCACCAATTTTATTATCATATCATTATCATTACTATCAAAAATTATTATCATTACTATACTGATAACAATTACTTACAGTAATAACAGTAATCATTGCTACTATTACGTCGCCACGCCTCAGATATTTTATACTAACGTGAATCGATCTTGCAAAAATGTTATTACACTGATAATGCCTTGTATTCTGGGTTCGATTTTTTCATATCATACGCGATGCCGTTATCAAATACCCCTTCCTTTTCGATAACATTTTTCTTGATATAAGACGCGTCGAATAAAAGGTTCATGTTTTTTTGTTTTTTTTTTGAGTATTACCATCATACCCGAAAAAAAAACTTTACTCGATATGTCTTTTAAGTGAAGCAATGAAGCTCTTAGATTTGTAATACAGAATGTGATTTTCGACATTAAAAAAAAAAAAAAAAACGAAATCGTAAGTTCTTGAGAGATCATATCCTTATGTCCATTTTCTTTTTCTTCTTGTCTCTCTCTTTACAACAGCGTAGGAAGAGATTAAACAAATTTCGAATGGGGAAATTTTAGAATACATGTGTAACGGATTTTAAAAGTTCATTTTTGGATAACCTGCTTCGAAAAAGGCGTGGTTCTCTTAAAATTACTGGAGCATAGTGAAGATCCTAACAGGACCGACGGCCGCCATTGTTGAAGAGACCGCCGGGCTTAAACATTTTAGTCGGACACAGTGGGACTACGAGTCTAAAACCATTTCCTTTTTTTTTTAAGTCGTTCAACTTTCGACTCGTTAGATAGTTAATATCAAATCATCGATTGTAAAGCTTTTAGAGCCAATTTTTTTCTTTTCTTTCTTCTCTCTCCGTTTATTTAATTGTAAGATGATAGATTAATCAGGGGAAAAGTGCAGAAAAATGTTATACCAGTTCTCTCTTCAGTAGCTGTCTCGTGGCTGTTAAATACTGCCGCTCGACCAGCGACTTCTTTCTTAATTGTTCGACATTTTTTTTTTGGTATTCGTCCTCCTTTTCAGTAATTTATGGCTTTAGAAGATTTTTCCAGAACATTTTTTGAGGGGAATTTCGTCCAGAAAATATGTTTGTTGTAGCTAGTAGAGACGCAGGAATTGGAATCTTTAATAGAATAGTTGAATATAAAAGCCTTTTTATTTTTTTTTAAACGAGAGTGATTGATGTTGGTCGTTATATTTGTCAGCTAAAATAATCCGGATTTTGTTTATTTAAATGAAGGCTCCGATAAAAATAGAAGTGATTGTTACTTGATTAAAATAAAAAGCTAAAAAAAAAGCAGAGTCATTGGTGTCATGAATGACTTTTAGAAAATATAATGTCATTTATTTAATTGTTTAAGATAATGGTTTGGAATATCTAGAAAATTTATAATTTCACTTACCTTTTATTTACGTTTTTTCTCTCTTTCTCTCTTTATCTCTTTCCTAGCATTCTTATTAAGTTACGCTCGTTTTCTTTGTTTTTATTTTTCTGTACTTTTTTTTTTTCTTTCTTCCATATTTTCCTTTTTATTTAATTATTTTTTTTCTCTCCTATATTCCTTTTTATTTACGTTTCATTTTTCCTTTATTCCTTTTTATTTATTTATTATATTCTATTTATTTATTTATCATTCTATTTATTTATTTATTCTTCTCATCGGCGTCCAAACTTGTCAAGACATGTCTCGAACAACGTCTCGTCCACGTGAATAATTTTACTTTCATAGTTTAGACTGTTTTCGTAATTGAGTTACATACACGATGTGCGTTTTATATGTATGCGTACGAGAAAGAGGGAAGAAGGGGAGGGGGGGGGGGGTAATCATTACAGTCATATGCACACTAAAAGGTAGTTAAGTACTATCTTTAAAAAAATATTTTGATTTTTTTTTTTTTTTTATTATTATTATTTGTGAAGGTGCTGGGTTCCATTTCATAGAGAGAAGAAATGAGAAAGATATTATTTAAACATAGAGGGGGGGGGGTATAAGAAGAAGAGAGAGAGAGAGAGAGGAAGAACCAAGAGAGTAAGAGAAGGCAGAGGTAAAAAAAAGAGAAAGAAAGGCGAAGATAAGACAAAAAATAAGAGGAAAAGGAATAGGAGGAGGAAAGAAAGAGGGAGAAGTGATACAAGAAAAGAAGAGGAAGAAATGAGGAAAAGTATACAGATTTTCCCCTCATATTGTAAAAATGTCTCGCCACATTTAAAACCAAGATTGTATTGAAAACATAAGTATCCTGAAATCTATTTTTAATACTCTTTTCACTTAACAAATTCTTATTCACTTATTTATTTCAACTCCCTCTTTCCAAACAAAATATCTTTAATTCTTTCGGTACTTGTAGGAAAATAAAACTTGTTACATGGAATAATGATTGTTGACATAGTTCACTCTTGATATACTTTGCAATATTTTCAACATAAGTTAGTATGTGGATTTAGTTTAAAACTTCTTTGATCCCTAAAGACTCCTGATCAAACTTAAGAAAACACAAGTATAAAATGATACATAAAAGATACATATAGTTATTAGTCCAGTTACTAACGTTTACTAGTTAGATCAACGTACGTATAATGTACCCGAAGACATTATCTTATTCTAAATATATACTCAGTGCGAGTGAAGGAAGGAAGAGAGAGGGAGAGAGAGAGAGAGAGAGAGAGAGAGAGAGAGAGAGAGAGAGAGAGAGAGAGAGAGAGAGAGAGCAACACAGGGGAGACTGAACGCCTAAAAAAATTCGCATTTCGGGTATAGATAATCAGAAACAGAGAGAAAGGAAAAACAACGTCAAAACGAGAGAGAAACAGAAAAGACGAAAGAAAACACGAGAAAGGGAGAGAGACCGAAAGGTATAAGCACAGAAAGACGCAAGAGAGAGAGAGAGAGAGAGAGATAAAGAGAAAGAGATAAAGAGAAAGAGAGAGAAAGAAAGAAAGAGAAAGAGAAAGAGAGAAAGAGAAACAGATCGAGCGAGAAAGAAAGAAAGAGAGAGACAGAACAGACAAAGAGAAAGTCAATCAACAAACGAATAAAAAAAAAAAAAAAATCCCACCCCTCAAAAAACAACAAAACAAAAAACCCGAGAGAGAGGAGACCAAGCATCCGAAAACCCACATTTGCATTTCGGAATTAGACAGGCGAATAATTGCTTGGTTACCGATGTGGCTTCCCCTCAAAGGCTTCCCCTCAAAGGCATAATAAACTTGACCTCATCACATTCCTCCTTGACCTGGGTTTTAATCAGATTGATTATATTTGTCTTTGCTCTGTTGGTCTTGGAGGAATTAGATTTTATTGTGTGTTTTTTGTCTGTGTTTGTTATTATTATTATCAGTATTAGTATCATTATCATTAGTATTAGTATTATTATTATTGTTATTATTATTACTATCATCATTATTATAATTGTTAGTATTGGTATAATTATTATAATTGTTAGTATTGGTATAATTATTATAATTGTTAGTATTGGTATTATTATTATCATTATTATTATCATCATTATCATTATTATTATCATCATTATCATTATTATCATTATTATTATCACCATTATCATTATCATCATTATTACTATTATATAACTATTATTATGTAATTGATGGTATCATTATCGTTATCATCATCAGTAGTAGCAATAGTAGTAGAAGTAGTAATAGTAGCAATAAATGTAATAGTAATAGTAATAGTATTATTCTAATTATCAACAATTATCACCACTTTTAACATTTCTATTATTCTAAAATTATCATCCCTTCTAAAATTCTTACATTTTATTACATTTTCTCAAGTGTGTTTTATTTTACCCGTTGCGTCATTTATTGTTGTTGCTGTTTTATATTATCCCCTCATTCTCCTCTTGTTCTTCTTTTTTTTTCTTCTTCTTCTTCTTCTTCCTCCTTTTATTCGCTCTAAGATAAAACCGCAGTTGTTGTTTTATATTATCCCCTCATTCTCCTCTTCTTCTTCTTCTTCTTCCTCCTTTTATTCGCTCTAAGATAAAACCGCAACTTGATTTAATTTAATTCTTCTCTTCGGATCACGATTAATTGCAATATTTTACTAAATCTTTTCTTGTCAAGTAAAGTAAATAATCCTGTTCTGGTTCCCCTTGTTCCTGTCAATCAATCTGTTGTTCTTATCCTTCTGTTCTCTCTTCTGTTCCTCTTGTTCTGTTTTTTGTTTTTTTTATTTGTTTGTTTGTTTTTGTTTCTTTTTCTTTTCTTTTCTTTTCTTTTTTCTTCTTTCTTTCTTTTTTTTTCTTCTTCATTTTCGCTTCTTCTCGGCTATTTTTTTTCTTATTCTTTTCTTTTGTCTTCCTCTTCTCTCTTTTTTTAGTTATTCTATTTATTCTTTTCTTTTGTCTTCCTCTTCTTTTTTCTTTTTTTAGTTATTCTATTTATTCTTTTCTTTTGGCTTCTTCTTACTCTTCTTTTTTCTTGTATTCCTCTCTTTGGATTCCATTTTTTTCTACCTCTTCTCTTCTCTTCCTTTTCTCCTTTTCGTTTGTCTCCTTCTCTTATTTTCTTCTTTCTTTCTTTCTTACTTTTTTCTTTCTCTCTCTTTTTTTTTTGGGGGGGGGGAGGGGTTATTAGCCTATTATCGTTCTTCTTCTTCATTTTCTTTCTTCTCTTTTGGTTCTCTCTATTTTCCTCTTTGGTTTATTGTCCTTTTATGGATTTTCTTTTTGTTCTCTATTCCTGTTTCTATTTCCTGTTATTTATTTTCTTTCATAGTTTATTTGTT